CCTCTATTAATTTCTCTGACATTCCCCAGGTAATTGCCCCCCGCTGCACTCATTTCTGGGCCATACTCCTGGAGACCGAGAGGGCACTGTGCTTAGGACAGGGGGCAGGAAGATCAGGGAGTGTTTGATTTTGTGTTCTGTGTGATTCATGTGGACAAGCCACTGTGCCTCTGACCCCTTCACGTTATGCTGTATCTTCTCATAAATCTAACATGAATCATCAGGCAGTAGTTAGTCTATTTAACCTAAGCAACGTGTTTGGTGTTGCATTAGGCTATTTTATTGATTGGACATTAAAAAGCCTAATGCCTTATACCAGCATTTCCAAGGCCTAAGGAAATGAATCAGACCTGAAGAAAATGTCAGACTCCAACATATTGAAAGTAAACCATAAAACCAGGGAAAGGATTGTGGAATGTCTACAGGACATAACAGCTCAGCTTTTTGGAAGTTGTTTCAAATTCTGTAATTTGGAATGCAGGTGTATCAATACACTTGATGTAAGGAAGGACTCCCAGTGTGCCTCTTCTTACAAGGGACCTGTTCATTTCTTCCTGGCATCTGGGTCTTTCTCTGAGCTTTCTTCTCCAAGTGCAGAAAGCGGTGAGATCCCCACAGGTGGCTCCATTTTTCTGCATCCCTGAGGCTGGCAAAGAGCCAGGTTGTATGTGTTTTTTTTTTTCCCAGAAGGGATGGTGGTTGTTCACCTCTTGGCATCTCTCACGCCCCTGATTCGATCTTCTGAAACCGTTGTCTCAGAGGACCGTGGGACATCTTGCTCTTTAAACGTATGGCACATTTTTCCAGCTTGTTGTGGGTTTTTTGGACACCTCTTGAGATCTGTGCAGTGGTCGGTCGGTGACTAAGCTTCCTCAGTCGAGCTTACACTGGTGTGTGTGCTTCCTTCCCCAGGTAGACTCGCCCCTTAAAGATGCTGACTCCATCCTGAGAAGCAGGAGCACCTTACACACCAGTTCACACCTCTCGAGGGGCGAGGGGCTCACCGGCCTTTTCTCACAGACAGCTGCAGTCTTCAGCCTCAGCTTCAGGTGATCCTGGCATATCTCTCATTGTATACTGAATATTGGACAGCTGTCCGGACATTTTCCTTTGGGTCAGCTCCATGGTTTTATCTGATTTCTGAAGGGGTCTGTGGCCGCTCTGAGGGTCACTGCTCAGTCACTTTCCCAGTGACCAGGTCACTTACCTGTCACTACGATTACGACCTGTGTGATGATGGCTCCCAGTGCTCTGTATGCCCTCCAGTTCTGGCACATTCCAGGCCTTGTGTCCATGTCCCTCAGCTTTCAGCTGACAGTGGGGTTCTCGGTCTCTGTTGGAGGCCACACTGCTAGCTAGCCACAAGAGACCCAAGCCCAGTCGTGCTGTGAGTGACACCCTTTGGGCATCTCCTCGGGTTGTCTGTGGGTTCTGGAGCCTGTCCCCCTTTTCTGGCCTGCCCATTGCTGGTCTCCACCTGAATGAACAGGCGCTGGTGCATCCCAGACCCCCTCTGTCACCCTTCTTCTCGCTTGCCTCTGACTGGGTCTCAGATACACCCCATCACTGCTGCTGGCTCACCGCCCCATGCCCTCTCGTCTGGACTCCCTTTCACAGCAGCCTGCTCTCCCCGCCAACCCTCTTATCTCTGGTTTGTATTCCACGTGGGTGCCAAGATTTCTATAAAACATGAAAATCTGATCGCACACCACCCTGTGGCTTAAGTGATTTTCTTTTTTGCCACCTACAAATTGCAGTCATCTCCACAGCGAGACTCCGTGTTCTGGGCACTTTGGGCCTCCCCAGCTTTGCCTCTCAACTTCCCACCTTTGGTTTATACTCTGAAACAGGACGGGGCTGATCTCTTCCACGGGCTCCCCACCGCCTCCTGAGGTTCAGGTAACACCTCGTCCAAGAGCCCTCCTCCAGGCTGAGTTAGGGCCCCGGGGGTGGACACCCCTGCGTCATCATGTAACTCTCTCCAAGTAATTCTCTACAACCCTATGAGTAATTTGGAATTAGATCCTGAGATACAGTCTATACATAAAATTCACCGGGGCATCTTTCTTTTCTTCCCTGTTCAGTAATCACACAAGTCAGATCTTGTAACTGCATGAAGTAATAGCTGGCACTGTTCAGTTGGTTCCTAGTGCCTTTATATTGTTTCAGATAAAGTAACGTGAGTAGTTGATTGGCCTGGACCTGGTCATTGGGAAATCATGTAAACCTTTATTTTTCTGCCTCTCTATCAGGGAGACTTAAAACACTTCCACAGAGCTACAGAAAGAGCTAATAAGCCAGGCTGCTAATAATCTGAATATAGTTTAAAGGCAGTATATAGTGATAATAGCGTGATTAACCTCGGCTAACTTGGGAGAAGGCCAGTTTACGTGAATGAAATGTCAGAATTACAGGATATTTAAGGAATGCAGTCTTACTGCTCTGAGGTAGGTTTCAAGGCTTGAACCAGGCTTAAGGATCATAGTTTTCATGCTGGGGGTAAAGTGGGGAGACTATAAATGGGAGCGTCTATCATACTGAGAAAGTCTTTCTTTTTTTTCTCTCAGCATTTATGAAAAAGCACGTTGTGACATTTTTTAATGCGTTTTAATACCACTTCTTAAATAGAACATTTTTCAGATAATATTTAAATGATTGCACGTCATTAGTGTCTGAATTAGTGATGTCTTAGTTACAATATGTTTTGTGCTTGCAATTAACTTGTAGCCTCAGATAATATAGACAGACTTCATCTCCTGTAAAAATTAACAGACAGGTGTTGTTAAAATGTGAAATTGCATGGTTTACTCTGGACATTGCCCCTGAAATTGGGTTAGAGGGGAGAGCTATTTCTTTTGTTAATTTTTTCATTGTTCCATGCAAATTTATTAAGGGCTTGAGCTCCAAGTATAGTGGCATTCTGTGGGGGCAATGAGGGGCTTGTCATGGTGCCTGCCCTCATGATGCTTCCTGTCCTGGGATAACCACAGTAAGATGTGCCGGGGGCTATGACCTGCATGAGCACAGAGGAGGAAGGCCCAGCCGGCCTGGGGGTCTGTCGGGGATGATGGTGATGGCGTTGAGACCTGATAGATGAGGGAGGTAGCCAGGTGAAGGGAGGAGGGACTAGGGAAGGCAAAGTCTCTGAGGTGAAGAACAGGTCGTGGACTGCGGTGGGGGACAAGGAGGCGGGGCATTGAGTCTGAAAAAGAAAGTCAGAGCCTTGGCACAAAGAACCTGTATGCACTTGCTAAGAAGTTTGGACTTTGTTGTGTGCACTGGGGGGCCAGTGGAGGTATTTTGAAAAGATCATTTGGTAACTGTGGGTCTGTGGGCTCTCTGGATGAGGGGCAAGTGGTATGTCCACAGGCAAAGAGACCGATGAGAAGTCTGTTGCCATAATTGATCCAGGCAGGAGCTGGTGATCGCCTGAGCTAGAGGCATCGGCAGTGGTGTGAGTGAACGGGGCCACTTGATAATGGTTAGGGTGGTTAAGAGAGCAGCTCTGGGGGGGGTGGTGGTGGTGGTAGATTCAAGGTCATTAGCCTAGATCTCTTGTTGGGTGGGAGTATGTGTGGCCTGTGCAGGGCAGTGCTGTGCCTGTCATTGAGGTGGGGAGAAGATGAGTTTGGGTGGAGGCCTACTGAGTCTGAGGTATTCATGGGCCCTCGATTTGTGCAGAAGTTCACTGGAGGTGTGAGACTAGAACTTACTGTATGCCCTGTTCAGGAGCACCTACAAGGAACATTCAGAAGGAAAATGAGGCTGTCCTGAAAATTAACTTCATTGGGGTTTGAGAAGTTTAGAAGAGTAGGAAAAATTGTTTTTTTTTCTTTTTACATCCAATTGATATGATTTTAGTGACATTGTTTTATTGATGAGGCAGTGGGCATGTTTTCTTTCCAGTATCAATCAAGTACCTGATGTGGTTGCATCCCACATGTAGCCCTATGGTTGACAGATACCTGTTGAGGCCGATGCTATGTTGGTGTGGTCTTCTAAATCACCCAGGGCCTATGGAGTCTTTTTTTTGTTTTGTTTTGTTTTGTTTTGTTTTTCCTTTGTGACAAGACAAATACATGCTCACTGTAGAAATTTTAAATAGCTTCAAAAAAGCGAAAACCATTTATTTTCTATATATGTTGTTACTATTTTTTTAAAGTCTTCTTTGGGGCATCTCTACTTAGGTATACCATTTGGTACCAATGATTTAGTATCTTACCTTATAAAATGAAGGTGTGACCTTTCAGCTGGACCTGGGAGTATGGGAAGACTTTTGCAAGTGGGTCCTAGCAATAGGGTACATTCTGGGTGGGGAACAAATCCACACAAATAGAAGCAAGCTGGTTTAGGGCCTAGTCACTTTGGATATAGCATAGATTACCTTGGGGGGAAATTTGAGTGGGAAACAAGGTGGGAAATGAATGTTGGGACAGATGATGGATGCTTTCTTAACCTTAAGTTGTTTGACTTTGTCCCCACTTCTGTCCAGAAGCATGATCACATTGATGCAGGGCACTAACCCATCAGTGTGACTTGGGGAGGAGGGTGGAGGCAGGTGGGAGTTAGCATGTGTGGTTTTAGAGATTTTTCTGGAATAGTGACATTTTTATTTTGGTTTTTCTTCCATTTCTGTCTTTTCCAGGAGAATATGAAAGTGTTACTCAGGCTTTGTTTCATAGCTGTACTGATTTCTTCTCTGGAAGCCGGTAAGTAAGCATTTCCTTATGTTCCTGTTTGCTGAGGAACTCTATTATTTAGAATTCATGAAGTACCTTCTGTGATGGAGTCATTTTTTTCTCTCCTGTTCTATTGAATCTGTGACCTCCTGGTCGCAAAACCATACTGCTGGATGTTCCTTCCTCATTCTCTCACTTATGGAACAGTAGACTGGGGCACAGTGAGCTTACAAGCCCAAGCTCACGTAGCTAGTGTCAGAGCAGAGCTAAAGTCCGGGTCTCCAATGTCAGGGCCAAGCCTTCTCTGACTTTGTTGCTGATTGAAGAGTGTGATAAGGGAAATCCTGGCTCTCATTCACAAGAAGTATCAAAGTTCATTATTAACCCACAACTGAACTGAAAACCATCATAAGACAGTTCTTTGTTTTCTTGATTTCTTCATTTTTTTTCCCTTTTTTCCTCTTCTTACCATACTGCAAATGCATTTAGCCCTTACTGTGTGCTAGGCTCTAGGTGCTGGGGACACAGTGAATAACCCCAATAGAAATATCTGCCTGCATGGGGTTTGCATTCCACTAGGGAAGAGAAACAATGCATTAGATAAGTAAGTATATATTATGTCATATGCTAAGAAGCATACATAGAAAAAAAATCAGGAAAAGGATATATAAAGTTTGGAGACTGGGGTGGGCAGAAGGTTAAAGATTTTGATAGTGTGGCCAGAAAAGGTCTCACTGAGAAGTTGACCTTTGAGTCAAACCTGAAGTGGGGGGAGGCAGGAGCTATATAGATATCAGGTTGGGAGTGGAGAAACATTTCAGACAGCATGTGCCAAGGCCCTGAGGCCAGGAGTACTTGCATGTTCTAGGAACTAAAATACCAGTGTGGTTGGAGCAGAGTGAAAGGTGAGGGATGTGATAAAGGCCGAGGTCATGTGGATAATGGTAGTGGGGGGAGGATGATGGAGGGTTGTTTGTGTAGAACCCATAGACCTTTCTAAGGATCTTGGCTTATACTCTGTGTGAGATAGAAAACTGCAGCGTTCTGTGTTCAAAACCAGAGAGATGATCTGACTTCTATTTTAACAGGATCATTCTGGTTCTTACATGGTGAATAGATCGTGGGGAGGCAAAGGCAGAAACAGACCATTTAGGAGCTGTTGCAGTGACCTAGGCAAGGATTGATGGGAGCATGTTCAAGGGTGGCAAGGAGAAGTGAGAAGTACTCAAAATTTGGGTATATTTTGATGATAGAGCCAACAGGATTTTAAGATAAATTGGAGGTGGGTATGAGAGAAAGAGAATCATGGCTGACTCTAAGGGGTTTGGCCTGAGCCAAGTGCAAGGTAGAGTTGCCCTTGATGGGGCAGGGGAAGATCCATGTTCAGACCACACATGTTAAGTTTAGCTCCATTCCGTGTGGAAATAGTGACGTTGACTAAGCAGTCCGGAGCCCAGGGGAGAGTTCTGGGCTGGATTTAAAATTGGAGACCTCAGAAAGCAGCTGGTACTAGAACCATGAGATGAGATGGGGTCACCTGAATGCGGTTGGAAAAGATAAGACCTTCAAGGACTCAACACTGTAGATCTCCAAGGTTGGTGGTCAAATTTCTACTCATCAGAGACTCAGTGAAAGACAGACCTGAAATGTAGTAGAAGAGAAGCAGACAAGTGTCCTGAGATCCAAGTGAAGAAAGCGTTTCAAGGATGAGTGGATCATAGGTGTCAAATGCAGATACTTAAATAAGTTAAGTAAGATGATATCTTAGAGTTGTTTATTTGATGTGTCAGCTTAAAACTTATAGATCAGAAAAATTTCAGTAGAGTGGTGGGGCAAATCCCAGATAAACAGAACAGGGTGTCTAGCTGAGACCTTCTTAAAGTTTACTCTTTTTATCATATACTGTTTTTGCTACCGCCGTTCCTAGTAGCTAAATATTTAGAAGTCCTCACAGGGTACCATGCTAACCTGTCCACTTTTATCTCTCTTTTTTTTTTAATTTTTTTTAACGTTTATTTATTTTTGAGACAGAGAGAGACAGAGCATGAACGGGGGAGGGGCAGAGAGAGAGGGAGACACAGAATCGTAAGCAGGCTCCAGGCTCTGAGCCATCAGCCCAGAGCCCGACGCGGGGCTCGAACTCACGGACCGCGAGATCGTGACCTGAGCTGAAGTCGGACGCTTAACCGACTGAGCCACCCAGGCGCCCCTGTCCAC